AACAGAGCCCATTAAAAATCCTTCCATGAGTTATGCATAAATTATGGAGCTTCGACTAAGAAATTCAGGTTGCAGGTACTGCTAAAACAGGATCATGCCATGCTCGTTAATCTTTCCAAAAAGAAAAAAAAAGAGAAATTCTTCCATATTGTGCGTTTGGTATGAATGCAAGGGAATTACAGTACCCTGTGGGGCACCACGCATAATTATTTAACTAGTTAAAACTCAGATGTCAAATCTGACCTGCTTTATTCACACAATCGTTCTCTTTCCTCCATTCCAGAGCATTGTTCATGATAATTCCCATAATCTCAAAATGGAGCTCCAATAGTTTTGTCCCGCAACTCATCCGCCTGTCCATATATCAATTGTTCGCTCGCCCACGCTCTATCTTCTGGATTCATTCTCTCCAACATCTCCCTAATCCTAGCTTCGGCCTCTTCCTCCATCCTCGCTTGCGACATTTTTTCCGTGTCTCGGTGGGATAATGGTGCACCTCTAAACGGTCTGGGGAACCCTGGCATATCTTCCATGACTCGCATTTCCAGATCCCCACACTTTCCAGACTCAAATTCCCCTCCATTGTATACTGAATGAGGCCATATCGTCGGTCTCGATCTGCGTTTGCGATGAAACCAGGAAAATCGCAAGTGCGAAGATTCTGGGCTCAAGGTCGAATCGTCATCCCTGACAGGATGTAAGAAGCGTTCTGGAACGGGAATTTTTAAGCAGAGGATGAGGAGGAAAGCGACAAACACGCTCACTGAAGCGACTATAACCGGCACGACAACTGCCGAATTGATATCATTCGAGCCAAAAGGTTTTGTAGGCAGTGAGGTATCCGTTGGAGAGGCAGGTACATCGGCGGGAGTAGCGATGGATAGAATATCCGCCATTGTCCAGGCATATTGGGAAGCCAAGAGCGAGGCTAAAAATACTAAACGTCGCATCGTGAGACGATGAATCCTTTTGCCTGATTAGAAGGCGCGAGGAACGACATTTGTGCTCTGCGTAAAGTAGCACACACAGCAAACGAGGCAAACGGAGCAAAAGACTCGAGTGTGAGCGAACACGGATATTTATGGGAACTTGTTGCAGCGGTCCTCGGAAAAGATGGCTAAATGCGAGGGTATTACTTAGTAGAGTCTCTTTTGTCTGGAGAAGGAGAGGTCCACACGGAAGACTAGCTGGAAGAGAATCATGATTATTATTTTATCCTAGCTTGGTTCCTTCGCTGCAACCCCCGCAAATACTTCCTTCACCGTACCGTGAGATGCTGATTTTGTGCCACCGTGGTTAGGGATTCCAATTGATGGCTGTAGAGATCTAGCCTATTTGACGAAATATACATTGCTATGCCTCTTTAATGCAGCAAGTGAATGAGTGGCTTGTGAGATACTAGGTTATAATTTTTGTTGAGTGCTATCATACTACTATTACATCCTAGCTTTCAAAGGGTTACATTGCATTTTTGATACTCGATAATTAGAACATCTCTGTACTTAAGATGTTTCTTCTACTTGGACCCAGTACTACATCATTATGCTTCTCTTTGCAGGTGTCTCATTTATTGCAGGTACAACTATATAAGTTTCATCACGATTATACACATAGTATAGCGCTTACTAGAAATCCAGTGAAGATCATATAATCATCAGCTTATGTATCTAGGAAGTCTCAAGTAGACTAGACTCAATCAATACCCTCAGAAGAAGTACTGGGTCATATTTATCCGGAAATCAAGCACATGGTCTCACGATATAAATACACAAGCGATTTCTCTCATGATTCTATCAGTTCCAATTCTCGAACAACCCAGTAGTTTGGACTGAGGAAATAATATACACAAGCTACAGTCCATCCTACGATATTCAATTGGAGAAAAGCAATCAAAAACCCTCTCCCTCTCCCACACAATGCAAACGTTTCTGCACCACCCGGCTCATCTCAGCAGATGAATCATCACTCTAGACAAAAATCGGTTAATCGCTCGTTTGCCAACCCGCCATACTAACCTCCACACTTCTCGTAATTTCCCCGCAATCCTTCGCCCTGATATCTTCCCGTCCCAAAGTCTGTGTGACTCCTTCCCCATTTCACAAAATCAACTAACAAAACCACTTTCATCTCATGTCGCGAGACATCCCCCCAACAGATCAATATCACGCGAGCAAACAAACAGAGATTTCTGCTCACCAGAAAATTCGCCCACATGCTCAATACTACGACACCTTTTCGTGTGGATCCCAGCTCAGCCATGCGAGATGATTGGTTGTATAGCCCCGCGATGAGCAGCTGACAAGCCCTCAAGCCGGAGATGTAATTGGTGGTAAGGGTGCTGAGGATCTTTGGTATCCCATCTGCATGAATATTGTTAGGGCGTGTGCCAATTTTGTATGTACGTGGTGGTTTGAGTTCCCTTCCATTACTGTGAGTCGGGCTTGGATATACAACGTGCTTTTGTCCTTCTCGCTCATTCATAGACGGAAGAAAAACTCCGTTCTCCGATTGCATTTGTGATATCAAATCATAATGTACAATGTGTATGAAGATGGGTACCTTGATTCGTAGTTGGAACAGTGATAGATGATCGAGACTATTCGAGATCTTCTCATGATCACGTACAGAGTACATGTATGTACCTACCGCCATCAACGCAACCCCAACTATCAAAAAGACGAGCCTGAAATTCCAATTTCGACATTTTGAGGTGATACTTAGACACGAAATGAGATATTCCCAAACTCACAAACCTTGGAATTGAATACCTACGGCGTGCAGTATCATCCTAGCTTGCATGCGCACAGATATTAGTTTGACGTTGTATCACCCCTATAGATTTTATGGGTAACTGTCACCTCATAAATTGTAATATGCAAATACTGTTGCGGTTGCCGAATACTACTGTATATATGTCGGTATGAAATGTTGAAATATCGGTAATGATATGTTGCCGAAGAGACAACCTCGCCGATGCTTTGGACTAAGGGTGCCGAATCAGTATCATGAATGGTATTATCTGATTCTCGCATTGTATATTAGATTCGATCAATTGATAACTCCTGTACAATTCTGTAGTGTCACTTGCTATGTGTATACATCGCAAATTCGGAAAAGATCTCATGTCGTTTTATTGACATGCCACAGAAATTTAAGTGTCTAAAACATGCAAGATCGCCCCCTCGCCCTTACCTTGGATTGAAACTGTGAATTTTCAATATATGAACAAATTAGGAATTGGAATAGGATCCGGGTTAGATAAGAGGAGAGTCTTACGATGTTCAAATGGAATTTATCAAAACAAGATATGAATCATATCACGAAATGCTAATGATATCAAATTAACACCGCAGTGTGCTCTGTGAATAAGGATGTAACGTAAAGAGCTGCAGTAGTCTAACTTAATAACAGTATAGTATAATTCCAGCCCGGCATTTCTCTCCCAAACATTCTCTCAATCCTCGAGAGTCACGGGATGATAGAATACACAGTAGCCACCCAATTCATGCCTCAACATTTGGAGAACGGACCCTTGAATAGCCAGTCACCTACCTGCTCTAACATTTCTTCTGTTCTGAGTTTCCGCATGGCCTCTGCATCAGGTCCCTTGTTATCCATCAAATCATGAGTGAAAGCATGGCGAACATCCCTTGCTAGCGTCCATTTACAGCCATCCTTTGCAAAACCATACATTCCATCTTCGCGTTCTTTTTCATTCAAATCGGCAAGATCAAAAGCTGTATCTCTAGCTTCCTTGGCTAGCATATCGTACTCTGCCCCTATTATATATATCCATTTAGGTATATCATTCTTGCTCACAAATCGAGTGCTCAATAATGGATCTCGAAGATTCTGACCAACAGGAATATGACCCCATTCGAATACTGGTCCAAAATCTGGTAGATCATCCAAGTCCTTTGCATTCCGATATGGGCGCGAGGCTTTCTTCTCGTCCGGCGTGAGCGTGAAGTCCATTACTGGATACCAAGCTATTACCCCGTTCAATCTTTCTCGCAATTCAGGTACTTGAGCAGCGGACAAAGCCAAGTTTCCTCCTGCACTGAAACCTCCCAAGACCACACGCTTCTTGTCAATATTCAGATCGGAATTGTCGATTGTGGCTTGCGCAATAGCAACAACATCGTTTGTCAATGCCGGGAATCTATTTGAAGGAGCCTGACTGTATTCAATGCTGACAACGATGATATTGAAACGATTCGCCATCATAGCACAGATCTCATCATCGAATTCGGCAGACATCAAAGCATGTCCTCCACCGTGGAGATCGAGATATAGTGGAAGCGGTTCATCGTCCGCTTGCTTAGCCGTTGGAACAAAGATTCGCGTTCGCAGATTTGGTCGACATGGATATGCCAAGAGCTTGGTAGGACGAGATTCAAGAGGTGTTGGTCGTAGAAGGCGCAGGATTTTGAAGGTTACTACAATAGCTATCTTCAATCCCCAAAGCTGAATGAAATACCAGGCGCGAGTGAGGATTGGAAGTTGTGGCTGGACCAGATCTTTATTCTTTTCAACGCATTCACGTCCATACTTGTTAGAAACCATCTTGCGATCTGTGATCTCGTGAATGTAAATTAAAATAAAGGGGCGCGCATTTTTAAATACTGCTCAGTAGAGAGATCCTATACCTAGCTTGAGACAGTCATCCTATTGGAGGATAGTACTGCAAGTACAAGGTTGCAATGGAGATAATATCGCGCATTTGCGAAACTCTTCGATACCAACCAACTTACCATGTTGTTTTGTTTAACAGTCTCAATAACTGATCGCATCGAGAGGTTTTCAAAAGATGTGTTGAAATCATAATTCAAGAACACTTGGGATGAACCAACCTTGGAAGCTTTAACCTTAACTAACATGCCCCACCAAAAATTGCATAAAACACGTGATCTACATGGAGGGAAGACTGCTACCATTTTTACGACCAAAAACTTCTCTACCGTTATTGGTATGAAGAAAGCTAAAAGCTGAAGACCAAAATGACAGAAAACATCAAGAGTCTGGTTGATTGGGCCACAGCTTCTGGGGCTTATCTTCATCCTGACGTTGAAATTTATAAAGATGCAGTAACAGGATTATCGTTCAAAGCGCAACAAACGATAGCTCCTCAAACAAGTATTGTGCGATGCTCATACCAGATTTCTCTATCATATCTAAATGCGATTGGCACGTATTCTGAATTTCCCTCTACCGATCCATTTCCTGTTGAGTTCTTGGAGAATTTGAAACAAGATGATCCCAACATTATTGGTCACTTTTTTCTCATACAGCAATATTTGAAGGGTGATCAATCTCCATGGTGGCAGTATATCAGATTACTTCCTCAGCCAAATGATCCCAAAAGCCTTGGGATTCCTATCTGGTGGCCAGAAGAAGATCAAGAGTTCCTCACCGGGACAAATGCAGAACCTCCACTTCAGAAGCGAGAACAGATGTGGAGAGATCAGTGGAAGAAAGGGTTGTGCTTCTGAGGGAATTGCCAAACCATAAAGAATACAGTTATATCCTGTATCGATGGGCTGCTACTATCTTTGACAGTCGAAGTTTTCGACCATCCTTGACAGTTTGTCCTGAAGCTTTGAGTCAAAGCTCTACAGATACAGATCTCAATCTAGATCATATTCGCAATGATAGGTTTTCGATCTTATATCCACTTGTTGATATAGGCAATCATAATGGTATCAATCAAGTAGAGTGGAGAAAAGACCCCATCTCCAATTCCTTCGATCTAGTCCATTCTGCTGGTGTCTCACAGGGAGACCAGATTTACAATTACTATGGAAACAAATCAAATAGCGAATTACTAGTTGGCTACGGGTTTATTCTTCCAAACGATCTTGTGAATCGAAATATTGCCAATCTCAAATTGACTCCAGATCATGATGCTATTCAATTACGCAGAGGTCAGAATTGTCACAATCCTCCAGATCCAAGGCAGCCCGAGGAGGAATTCATGTTTTGCCGTGCAAACCACCATCTGCAAACGGGTCACACGATTCTAGGATCTTGGAATTTCACAGCTTTGGAGAAGGTCTAGTGGATCTCATTTGCTGTATTGTAGCAAATGAACGAGAGCGTTCATACATGTTGAAGTTTCCGGAAATATGCCCAGAAAGAATTGCACAGCCCTTCCAAAGCCCTCTATGTAGAGCAGTGTTACAGGCAATACTTATTATCCAATCTAAGCTCGCATACGAAATTGAGAAGATTGAACAAATCGGAGCAAGTCTAGGGTAAACCATCCTCGTTCCTATCTTTGACAAAGCTCACGGTGTCTCAGCCCCCCTCAAAATTATAATCAATCCCTCGCTCTGAATTACCGGAACCTCCAACTCATCACCTTACGATCCGCTCTTCAACCCCTAGATCTTCTAACCACACCAATCCTCACCCCATCCCTCGAACTCTCACCACATTCTTCAACAGGCACTTTGAAAATCCTCTCAATCGAACAGGCCTACTCACTACTCACCCACCACTACCCATCCCTCTCTACCAGCATCCACAATCTCATCGCCTCAGACCAAGAAGAAGAACTTCCTCTAGATTGGTCTGTCCTTCTCGAAGATTGGAACTTCACATACTGGACTCTGTGGGTTTATATCATCATGCTCAAGCGATCCGACCAAAAAACTCTTGCGGCTATACACCCAGCATTAGAGAAATGGATTAGAGATGGAACTTTGTGAGTTTTTTCTTCTTTTCGTTTTCATTTCTATCCTATCCATCCACCCACCCCAAACTAACCCACCACCACCACCACCATAGAATCTTCTCCCCCCAAAACCCCACCCCCACCTTCCACGGCGCCATCGACGAACACGAAACCCTCACAACCACCCTCTCCCAACTACGAAAACTGCACCCAGAACTTTTCAACCTCCAAAATGTAAACCACGAGCACCTCCTCAGTCTCGCAAGTTGTGTGGTCAAGGAACAGACATTTACGGCGCCGTATGTCATGATGGATGGGGCGGCGAAGGGAAAACGGATAAGCCAGTTGGTGGTGTGTATTTGGGGTGAGGAGGTATGATATTTGAGGGGTTTGAGGGGGTTGGAAAAGTTTTGTGTTATTTATGATGTTTTGATAGGTGGATGATTGGAATTTAGGTTCTTAGACTAGAGACGGGAAGTATCTGCATTGCGAGTTTTTCTCTAAAGTCTAGTGTATGTAGTCGTCGTGATTCAAGTAACGACAAGGGACTTGTGGGTCTCGAAATGAATGAGGTTAACCCTAAATATCATAAATCTGATGAATTACAAAGCAAACTCAAATCTCCTCTCTTGATGTAACAATACTCCAAACACTGCATTACAATCAACTAACACATAACCTATAACCCATAACCCATACATAACACACAACACACCACAAATCCCACCTACCCATCTCCCTTTCCCCACACCTCATCCATCTCCTCCCTTCCACAAACCTCCCCCCACTCAATCCACACCCTCTCACCCGTCCACACGCCACCCCTCCCTCCTCTCCCATCAATCCACATCCCTCTTCCTCCCTCTCCCTTCCCATCCCCTCCCCCACCCACCTCTGTTCTCCCACTCCTTTCGTACACACTTCCCAGAGCTGTTTCCCCCATTTTCTCCACCAGGTTTTTCCCCATATTTGTTTTTGTGAGGATTCTTCTTTTCTATTTTTCTCCTTCTCCTTCTCCTTCTCCTTCTCCTTCTCCTTCTCCTTCTCCTTCTCCTTCTCCTTCTCCTTCTTTGCGTCTTTATCCTTGCCGCTCAGACCAGAACCAAAATCAAGACCAAAATCTAAACCCAACCCAAAAGAAAAAGACACCGGAATCCGAGGATTTAAATTTAAATTCAACCCCCAGGAACCACCATCACCATCACTAAATGTAAGAAATGGTACCGAATTCCACGAAACATTTTTCTCTCTCGCCGCTCTGAGATCATTGACCGATTGACCGATATCTTTTTCTTTCCCTGCGTCTTTATCCACATCCGGGACTCCGCATCCATCCAGCGGTCCAGGAATATTTTCCAATTCCGCAGATAATATCGTGATATCTCTCACTGGCTCCTTGATAACTCCTCTTCTACTCACCATCTGCTTCCTGCTTTCGTTTTCTCCAATCGTCAAAATTTTCAGTTCCTCCCCCGATTTCCCTACCGTGTGAAAATCCCCGATGTATAATCTACTCCGATTCCAAACTCCCCATCACCCCTCTCGCTATTCCCACCTACCCCCAACGTCTGGTTCCCATTCCCATTCCCCTTCCCATTCCTCTCTCTACCTCCCCGCCCCCTCCCCTCCCCAGAAATAAAAACCCCCAAAACCCCCTCCAACCACCCCTTCCATCTCCAATCCTCCGCCCTCCGTCTCTCTACTCTCCCCCCTTCCTGTTCGCCAAAAATCTGCGTCATAATCTCCTGCATGGAACATCCCTTTCTTTCTTTTCCTTTTCCTTTCCCATCTCCATCCCGCTCTTGCGCAATTTCCCACGCTCGACTCCAAAGTATCTTCATATCCCGCACTTTTCCCATCGCCAATGAGCTTTCGATAAAGCGAGGGTACTCCCTATATTGATCTATCTTTCCTTCTTTATTCTTCAATAAAGGAAATTGGGGAATCACATCCCCATAACAAGATTTCCCCTCCCCCTCTTCTGCATCTCCTCGCTCACCCCTATCCATCACAACACAATCTTTTCTCTCGGCAAAAAGTACTTTCTGTGTATATTTCTGCGATCCCACTTTCCCTAACGTTCCAGTACCCGCTTCAGTAGTCTTCTCAACTCCATATTCTTCACGTAACTTCTCATTCACTTCCCTCCTATTTCGCAAAAACCTCCCAATGATAATTTCGCCCGGAAGTTGCAGCCACGTATTCGCATTCAAAAGTAGCACTAAATCATCATCATGCATATCTTTCCCATTGAGAAAATCAAGCGTATCTTGTATTTCTTGTAACGTGGTTGTTTCTTTCTCTTTCTCTTCAGTTTCATCTGATTTCAATTTGAAGCCTAGGAGGGTTGGAGGTGGGTAATTTAGGATAGATGCGGTGAGGAGAGTTTTGCAGATATTGAGCGACTTCTTGCGGGCGGGAATTACAAGATGAAATTTTGGGATTGTATCTGTATTGGTGTTGGTTTCATTGTTAGGGAATGGGATAGTGTCGTCCCATTCAGAGCTTTCGATGATTGTGTATGGTGCGAAAGCTCCCGCTAATTTTTCAGGAACGTAGGAGCCAAATTGTGATGCCGAGTGTTGAATTTTATACTAGAGGAAGATATTAGCGAGCCATGCTTTTTGGATGCGCATAAATGTTAGAAGTTGGAGATGATTTTCTGCCTGATTGATGGTTATGAATGAACCATACTTACTGCGTGCCATTTACCAAGAACAATGAGAATCACAGAAGACATGAATATTAGAGAGAAGAAGATACGACTACGGAGTCGACTGGGTCGTTTTAATTCTCTTAGTTTATGAGCCATGAAACTCATGGGTGAGATTTTCCGCATGGCAGTTTGGGGAACAGTCCCATTCTCTGTAGGGAACTCCTCATAATTCATCACTAACCACTAGCCACGAAAAAGCAAAACAGAGAATTCTCTTTTCCTCAAATTTCTCACCTCGATTGACTCATTGGTGTGTTCTTCACTTCAAATGAGCCGAAGTCTCAGAAGGCAGTAGGACTACGTATGATGTCAAGTACAGTAGAATAATGAGTTGCAGGCAAAGAGTGTCAGAGAAAGAGTTTAAGAATGGATTCAAATTGTGAAGACTGTAAACATTGGAAGTAGTTTGACTGGAATGATATCAAGTAAGGGATGAGGCAATTGCTTCTTCGGGAAAAGCAGCCAACTACAACTAAATGTATCATTGGAGGTTTCTTCCTTACGAAAAAAGTTCATCTTAATTTGGTATATTAATATGATATATTGAATCTATAGCAAAAATGATCATTGAGACCATTAACCCAATCTGGCTTCAGATCAATGCAGGGTCGACTCAGCTTATTTGGAGATCTGGTGTGATGAATGAATACAAAATATGGTAAACGAGAACGGAGAAGAAGCAAATGTTTGGGTATAATAATGAGGAACACCCTATTAAGAGCCTCTGAGTCGTTGCAGTTGATTGATAAACCCATATCCACTTTGCGTCCTGTTCTCGCCGACACCAGAAATCGATGTTTCTTGGCCTTGAAGAACCTCGACTCTTTGGCTTAATTGACCATTCTGTTCAGCATCCTTTAATAGATCTCGATGTCTGTCTTCGACCATCTTTGCAAGACTTTCAACAAATTTACTCCTTGCCCGCTCTTCAGCTGTGCCTTTCCACACAAGTGCCAATTCTTTCAGTTCTTGTACTCTTTTGGCTGCTGCCTCAATACCATCGACTGGATCATCCCCAATTAACAAATCTGCAATTTCATCACGTAGTTTCTTGGAAACTTCTTGTCCTTTTTCCTCGGTGCTATGTGCTTCTGACCCCGGCTCAGGAGCGGAAACAGAAAGAAAGGATGAAGTGACCGATACTTCTGATGGTGGAAATGTCCATGCCATTGCATCTCCAAATGTCTTTATAACAGTATCCAATCGTGACCGTACAAGTGTAAGCGTTCGTAATTGTGTCACATAAGGAGGATCGGCGATTTTGGTGCTGTTCGTGTCTTCTGAGGTAGGTGTTTTTGGCATGCTAGCTGTGGCAGATCGCGCCCTAGAGTCTCCAGACTTTGTTGGTCTTCTTGACAGATCATTCTCAAGCCCTCCCGGAACGAACTTTGTAATATCATCATGTAGTCCTTCGGTCAACGCTTCTGATAATCCCAATGTCTCTCCTCGTAGCACTTCCACCTCATAGGCCAATCGGCTTCCACTTCGCAGTATCTCATCGGTGAGTTGTGTAAGAGTAGTCGTAAGTCTAGTGGTGTGTGCGCTAAGATGTGAAAGTAGAGTCTGTGTCTGTGTAGACAGTTCAGCTAAAGGGACGACATTTCTTGAAGACGACGACGTATTCGAAGATTGTAAAGAAGGCAAGGTCGAATTGAGGTAATCTACAGGATCAAAAGCCGGGTTCAAGAACGGTTGGAGAACAGGATCTGCAACGTGGGTAGATTTTGATGGTAAATTTGGTTCTGACGTAGAGACGCCATTTCGAGACTGAGATTGGGGTTGAGGATGTTTGAGCCTAGGATTGTTATTTTGTGAAGAGGGAAGGGTTTTAGAATCCCAAGCCATTTTCACAATGTATCTATGATTGACCGAATTGTGGTTACAATAAAGTAAAGATTGTTTCCCGTGTTTTGTACAATACCTCGAGAATAGCTAATAATATATTGAGAGCACCAGGGCCATCGAGTTTAATGGTGTCAAGCACTTGGAACATTATTGTGGGACCAGACTTTTCGATATGGGATGACTAATACGAATAATTGGGGGACCCAAGCCGTGCATGAAGGCTCAACTCGGTCAACGTCTGATGGAGGAAATGATGGAGGAAATTGATGGCGGGGCATTGAGGGATGGCATGTCACGTGATGGCCTCATAATAGTAGTGGTAGGTGCGTTTGCATCTCTACCGGGATTATAGCTCTAGGCAGGTCGGTACCTAGCATCACGGTGTCGGTCATCATGTTTCTTCTTCTGGAGCCAGCCCGTAGATGGATACTGGGTATCTCTCCTTGTCTCAGACTTCACTTCATTCCAATTACTTCACTTCACTTCCCTTCTCTTTTCTAACTTCACTCCACTTTACTTCAACCACTTTTCTTTTCTTCTCTTCTCTTCTCTTCTCTGACTTCACTCCACTTGTACCCCAACCCGTCCGATTTGACCTCAATTTAGTGCTTACCTAATTACTTACTTACCTACCTACCTACCTAGGTACACAACAATACTTGAATTTTTATTTCATTTGCTTCCACAGAGAAGCATCCGGACAGTTCTCAAGCACCCGAGACTGTATTTGGGCTTCATGCTTGGTACATCAAAAACTTACTCTGAGGGATGTCCAAAACTCTGTTTCGTTTGACGGGCCAGACATGGTGGATGTTGATGAGTGATAAAGTTGAATAAGTACCTACTGACGATAAGAAGTCCCAACGTGTTTGAATTCACTTCCAACATTCACCCGGTTGATATTGAGAAGCTTGGAAAGATTCAATATCTGTGAGCATTCAATCCTGGGTAGTACCTACCAACTGATGACTAGCACCGCACTTTTACTCCGCATCGTACCAGGCAACCGGACCATTTCGAAATCGTCGACCAATGACAATTGACTTCCCAGATTCGAACCACTGTACACACCAAAACCAAGGCAACTAATCAAAAACACCTATACAAGGCTGCAGGTCGACAACCTTTATACAGCTCTTTCCCTTGTTACCTCCAGCTTCAGAACTTCTTCGATTCTTCAAAGATCTTACGAAAAAGAGACTAACAATATCTTTTGACTACAGTACAAGAAGTTGAATATCATTCCCTTCACCTTTTGAGAATCGGATCAAGACTTTGATCTACAAACCCCCAACTCCATCAACTTGATATCAATCATCTCAAAGGTACATCTTCGAGCTGTCGTCAGGTCAAGAAGACCTTGCTACTTTTCAAGATCCTTCTCACCACAATATCTTGTGAATAATTCCAACAGTATCTAGTGGATTCCACGTCGAAGCATATTTACAGTATCAAAATCTGACCAACAACTTCATTTTTACAGCAAGCTCCCGTCATCTTTTGAAGTTACAGTGTCAGAGATATATCCAATAATTGCGCTGCACGATGACTCGCAAACACTTCCTAGCGGATGTTAAAGAAGCGTCTGAGAAAGGCATCCCTAATGTTATCTCAATTAGTCGGGGAGATGACGATGGTGATGTAAACTTTTGCTTCTTGCATGATTCTACAGAACCCATAGAAATTGGTCTCTTAGCACTAGGTACGTTTTACTATATTCTATATCTCTATCAAACAATCGTCCCCTCTCCTACGTGGACTTGATCACTGATTACGCACTTGGAAACGAAACGGTGTCTTCAAATGGGGAAAGAAACAAATTGTTCTTCATCATACTGACTTTGATAGATGTTTCCGAGTACCCAAGTGGGAATAATTTTATGATTTTTACCAAGTCCGAAGGGGCTCCAAAGGCTGTCAACGAGACACTGGAACGACTCATGACCTCCTCAACTGGCGTACGTTTACCAGAATTGATCAGCAGTATTTCAAAAAAGCTACACATATTACTTTCGGCAGGTTCGCGAAGATCTCCTATCAGTCTCGACGAAGAGGACGAAGATGATGAGATGGAAGATGCGGAAGAAGACGAAAGCGAAGACGACTCCGGCTTTTCTGACGAAGAGGAAGAAGACTTTCCAGACGAGCCCATAACCTTTTCTAGCGGTAATACTGTCTCGGTATCGACTAGTAGACTCACACTAAAAGCTGCTGCACAACTGAACCGACGCATTCGAGCAGACATGCGTACTGTCCGATTGCTGGGTCATCGGATCGGAATTCTGAGCGGCATGAAGGCTGAATCCCAAAGTAGTATCCTCAGCATCTCCATTCAGGCGACTAAGCTGGGTCTATCGGAAGAGGCTATGCAGGCTTGGGATATTGAGCCTCACCAATATTTGACCTTACTCATACGCTACTCGGATGGGTACAAAACGTACGAGGCACTGATTGCCGAACCAGCCAAAAATAGTGGGATCGATTTTCGTGTTGGAGTCTGTAATGGTTACAAGCCATCTGCAGTTGCAGCATTCTCAGCGTTTTCGGACTCAAACAAGGTCGACGACAAAGCTTTCAACAGCGATGGCTCGGATTCACAGGACCGCAGCGGAGGATTTTTCAATATATTCATCAGTAGCTCCTTGAATGAGTTCATCAATAAGAAGATGATATCAATGCTCAAGATCCGCAACGCAACTGGTCTTGGATGGGAGAACGCAAAGAAGTTCTTGGATCAACGCCAAGGACGACCACTTGAAGAAAATGCAGATTTGTATGCTGACAATGACTACTCGGACAAGGATACAATCAAAAGTCACACATCGCAGATTCTAGCCAACGATCATCTTACCGATAATGAGAGTGGCAGCTTGTCATTTCCGCTTATTGCTGCACAATTTGCGTTGATGTATCTAGTCCGCTGCACGGAATTTTGTCTCGTCTGCCATGATAAGATTACAGGAGGATTTGAGGCGTTGAAACCTTATGTTTGCGAAAAGCCATTATGTTTATATCAATATATGTCCTTAGGTTTTGGACCTAGTGTCGAACATGTAGGTGGCCGTGGATTGTATATACCCAGTCCAATTACTCGAATGCTAATCGTGTATAGGAGATTAAAACTCAGCCCTATGTTGTGGACCTTCTCCTGAACTTTTGTTATACTAGTGCTTTCGTAGGTCTATCTGTATACCATATCCATAGCTTCCAGCTGATTTTTCGATAGTACGCTCGGATCCGTGAGTATCCCACAGGCATGAGTCTTTCTGTTCCCTCGACCATCATCGCCCAAACGGGGGCGTTGCCAATCCCATCCTTCGCCCCGGCCCCAGCTGTTGTAGAAAAACCAAGCGATGATCGTCGAGACAAAGAATTCAAAATTAAGTATAATAGCGAAGCTTGTGAGTTTACGTTCGAGGAAATGTCTGAGATCTTAAACCCTCCTATTCGCAAAGGAGATTGGGTCCGCATTTTGCTTGGGCCCGGACCAGATACCGTAGCTCAAGCACTTCATTCTAGAGTAGAGGATGTAACCTCGATGCCGATTGTAAAACTTTCGCAACCAATCCCGCAGAAGGCTCAATCAAGTGCAACACCAACAGACAACACCACCAACATAATTGCGGCTCGGATATCTATTTACAATCGCAACTTCGACGAGATGTCTGTCTCAGAAAAATGCAGTGTTATAACAATGCTTCTTGACACTTTACCAACCATCCAGGAGTTGAGAGAATATATCGATCGACAGAGCCGAACTGAAGAACCGAACCTTCGTAAATGGACAGAGCGTATATCCCCAGCCGCTCTAGGTTTACTACGATGGGTTATAGCCTCTAATCGCTCATGCCTTGTTCAAGTCGATAATTGCCCTGGTCAAATTGATAGTGTTTTGGCTGATGCAAAAATTAGACCAGATCAAAAGGTCTCTCAAATTGGGGAAAATTGGATGCAGTTTCGTTTCGCACAAGGATCGCCAGACAAGGAAGAGCGTTTCTTAAATGCTCTCAAAGAACAGCAGGCCAGTTTGGATCCAAAGTATCCTACTATCTTTGCTTTTCATGGCAGTGGGCTGCAAAACTGGCATAGTATCATTCGACATGGATTAGATTTCAAAGAAACTCTCAACGGGCGAGCATTCGGACATGGCGTTTACCATGCGCAAGATCAAACTATATCTTGTCAATATAGTAGTGGTCGAAATTGGCCAGTAAGTATAAGAATCATCGCATTTGGTCTGGTCTAACTTTCAACTAGGGTTCCTGGCCTGGAACTCAACTCAAGATTACGTCTGTGATGAGCATTAACGAGATTATCAATTGTCCAAAACAGTTTGTTAGCTCGAATCCATATTTAGTAGTACAGCACATCGATTGGATTCAATGCAGATATTTGCTCGTTCAAGTTGAAGGGCAGGTAATTGCAACTCCAGCCTCGACTAGGTATGTTTCCCACCCAAGCGATTCGTTTAAGGGGCATGAGACAATCCGCGATAATTGAAGCTGACATTTATTTCCTTTGTAGGGAGATTCAGGCCGAAATCGAGCAAGATCCCAAATATACGGCAACATCCACCAACAAGAAACCTATCGGTGTTCCATACTGCGCTGCCTCAGTCTCTAGAGCATTTCGTAATGATGGCATCGGCAGTTCTTTCACATACAAGAAACTGAAAGGACTATCTTCCTTGAATGGGACTGGATATGTGAGCGAAGCAGAGGACATTGAGGATATTAACTTTCTGATTTCTGATAATGAAGATGAAGTGGGAATATTGTAAGCAAATCAACTCTCCCTTAACACTTTGTTGTTTGATCACAGCAGTTTAAAAACAGCCTCAAAATTGCCCACGAAAGAGCCATCAGCGATCAAATCATTCTATCGTGCTAATCACGAATTCTTTAAATGAGATTTCGCTAACTATTTGTGCTAGATCTTCCAGTTCCAAGAATCTAGAGGCTTCAAAAACTGATTTTGTTCCTGGATCACTTGATCAAAGTAAACTTCCAATGCTGGGGCCTCCAGCTTATGCTACCCCGTCTGCAACTATGCGTCTCAACAGAGAGTTAAAAGCAATCCTTAAGGTACAAAACTCTACACCGCTTCACGAATTAGGATGGTATATCGATGAAAATCTTGTTGATAATATATACCAATGGATCATCGAGCTACACTCCTTTGAGCCCACTTTACCACTGGCCAAGGATCTCAAAGAATCGGGCCAAAACAGCGTTGTTATTGAAATTCGCTTTGGGAAAGAATATCCTCACAGCCCACCATTTGTACGAGTTGTCAAGCCACGATTCTTACCCTTTATGTCTGGTGGAGGCGGTCACGTAACAGCCGGTGGAGCATTATGTATGGAGCTTCTGACAAACTCTGGCTGGAGTGCCGTCTCCTCGATTGAGTCTGTTCTCTTACAAGTTCGTCTTGCACTTATGAGTATGGATCCAAAGCCTGCACGCTTAGAAAGCAAAAATCCACAGACTCAAGGTGAGTATGGAACTCAAGAAGCTATGTCAGCTTTTATCAGAGCGTGTAACATGCATGGATGGGAGATCCCGAAGGATTTTCAGGACTTTGCTGCACCTGGTCCTAGTCAATTTTAAATTTGGGAAGCGCCATTCGGGAACACCATAGCATTCAATAATTGAAAGAAGGGAGATAGGAGTGACAGAGAAGAGGGGAAAAGGGGAAGGATTTAAGATTTGCTTTTGCTTCTTTGTTGGTCTGGTTTTAATTTCTATTGGGCGGGCTGGCTGGCGTCATGAAAACTCAAGATGGGATATTATGATAAGATGACTGGACCTGGGACCTGGCGGATAGATACCCAAACAAATAGAAAGGAATGCTACAGGGAAAAATAGGCGTCAAATTGTGCAATGGGACGGTATGGAAATGGATGGATCTTTAGGGCTGGGCAGGAATCTGACTATTACCTTTGTGTAAGATTTCTTTTACGGAAATCTACATGATAGTAAGCCAATTAATTAGATGAGAAGATAGGCAGATACATGAGTTTTTCTCTTTATAAGATTTGTTATGTTTTGTGAGTGAGCAGATGAGTGAGTGAGTGGGTTCCTGGGTAAGTGCTTTTTCTATAAGATGCTGTTTGATGTGGTTGATAGGCGTGATTGACGAGTGTAATTGATGAATGTGATTGGTTTGAAAAATTTAAGCTGTAGCTTCTAAGGTTAGGGATATTTCTTGTTGTATGTAGAAGGGAGGAGGGAGGGATGTTATCTATATAGCTTGGTAGGTAGGTAGGTAGTAGTGTAATGTGTATTAATTGTAATTTGGGGAATTGGATGAGTTGAGTTGAGATTGGATGAGGTTGATTTGGATGAGGTTAGTTTGACTTGGATTGGATAAATGATATCAGATGTTTTGTCTTTATTGGAGATGGGAGAGGGAGAGGGTAAGGGCTAGTTTGGATATAAAATCCGTGCTGAATCCATTGAAATAATCTGCACTTTGTACTATCGCGGATTCCGTAATGATATTAATCTGCTTCAAAAAGAACGGATTATTAATCTATGATTTTATAGTTTGAATATCAAATCCGTCAAATAATTTGTAGTTTTTTTAGAATATTCAATTTAAACTTCAATTCGATATTAAAACCCTATATTTAAAATTGAAAATCATATAAAAAGCTTTAATAAAATAATGATCTTGAAAAAGTATTTAAAATTGAAAAAGAAATACATTTTGATTTTATCTTTTTTCTTTCTTTTCTTTTCAAAGAAAGAATCTTTTTTTGAAGTATTTTTAAAGCTATTTTCTATATATAAAATTATTTTAATAACTAATAATATAATTATTATTCAAAACATCTTGAAAACATTTAGGAAGTCGAAAATTATTAATGATAATAATAATTAAAGATTTATATCTGTATAAAAAAGAAATAGAAGATTTCGAATTCGAAATCCTTTTTCCCTAATTCGTTATTCCAAATAAAAGTCTAAATCTATAGCAAAAGTAATCAAATCTCAAAGCCAACTTCGAGATTATGATATCTTCTTTTCTTTTTTTATTAGAGATTTATTATCCAGTTCCTTCTATAATAACAATATTATCTTTAATCAGAAGAAGATATTCTTTATAAAAAAGAAAAGTTATATATAAATATTTAATTCAAATAAAGCTTATTTTAATTATATTAATTTATAATATATAGCAGGATTTCGAAATTGATAAGAGATTTCAATAAATATCGATACAGACAGTAATAAGAATAATGACGATAAGAGGAATATCGATAATAACTATAATACTAATCAAGATTCAAAATATAACATTTATAGTGATTTAGAAAGTGAAAAGAATCCCTTTATTGATATTATTGAAAGGGAGAATAAATCAATGGATTTGGAAATTGAGATTAAAGATATTTCAAAGAAATCTATAAATCAGTTTAAATAGAAATCCTACAAAAGCTTCTTTTAAACTTAATACAAAGTTATTTATAGAAAACTAATCAACAACCAGATCTGTCACGGCGCCAACTACATGATCTGTAGTTGCCTTCGTGTCTCAGGCACAGCATACTAGCGCGCCCTACTTCCTATAAGTAGGGCTTCATTTTTCCATAGCTCTTCTATCCTTATAATACAATATAAGTCTTTATCTGTATTTTAATAGTTTATATTATCTTTAAATAAGCTATTACAGCTTTATTTCTTATTTTATTTCCAAAGCCCCATTGATATCTTATTCCGATCACATCGATCGCATTTATTATTAATCTATTATATACTCTATTACCGATATTTTGAGTCTCAAAAAGTACCGAAAATGGGTGAACAAATATCTACACCAGAAATGCCTACATCTGGTTTACCTTCATAATTCCTTTTCTTGAATTACATTCTCAATTCCATCAAAGCCGATATCTTTCCCTTTATAGATTTATTTAATAATCTAAACACTATATATTTCACTATTGCTTAAACCATATTTGAATCGACCGAATCGATTGTAGGCTTATTACAAGCCCAAACTGTTGCTATTCAGATCTAAGCCATTAATACTCAATTAAAGATTGTTGAATTGAAAGATATAATTGAAATATTGAAAATTGCTGTTTGCAATAATTCGTAAGTTTCATTTTGTTATAAATATCTCACTGTTTTTGAAAAGTTTAGTAATAATAAATAAGATATCGTAAAGCGTTAAGATTAGTATATAACTTTTCATAGTGTAGTTAATTACTGTTTGACTATCACGGGGCAGGCGGGCTGGATAGGGTTCTAATAACTTTGCCTTAATCTGGCAAGGCTATACTAATTCGGGTAATAGGTTCAGATTGAGGATTAAAACATAGCTCAAAGAGTTACAATACAGAATCTTCTGAGTTGAAGATATACGGAATTCTTACAGCAAGCTAGCCCGATCAGGCCCTAGCTCGCTTGCACTTCGATGCGAGCACTCTTTTTGGTTCTCTTTGATAGGATTAGTATATCATATAAGCTCACACTATAACATTACCCCTTTCCTAAAAGTCGAGCTCTGTCGAGGCGGTATATCACGGTTTACAATTTATAAGCAGGCGAGGCCCGGTCAAGCGGGACCGGGTTTGTTAGGGTATCTATAGTGAAAGTTGTGGATCAGTTTTTGTATATCTTTCAGGTAGCTTGTAGGTTTTTCGGTTGGTGTATCGTAGCCGATCCAATGGATAGTGTATTTCAGGCAAGGTTTTTTATAATCTCTTTTTCTCAATAGGAATTTAGGATTTCGGTAACCTCAAAACGCTTGAGGTTGTTTATTTCTATAAGAAGTGGTGGTGGATTACACTATTCAGGAATAGGATTATTGTATACAGGATATAGCAGGTTGATGTGGAAAACAGGATAAATCTTTATCGAAATCGGAAGCTTTAGTTTATAGATATAGGGGCCTATCAGGTTCAGGATTTTGAAGAGCCTGAGGTTCTTCTAATCAAGCTTTTTTTGTAGGTATAGGGTCTTGATGTTTCTAATATTTAGTTAGATTAGGTTACCGGGTAGATATCTACGGGTAGGGGAATGGCGGGTATCGGTATTTTTCGAGTATTGGGCTTGACTGACAGTTAGTTTGATCTGTAGGTATGAGAAGATGACTTCCATTTTAGTAACAAATTCTTTAGTATTTTGTATAACAGAATAGTTACTCTGGGATGATACAAGCTCGAAGCCTAGACGGGGGTGGAACCTGTAGTTCAAAAAGAACAAAATCATTCGGATACTTTCGGACTAAACATTGTTGATAGAGAATTCGATAAGTGGAAGTCACTCTACCCAGTCGTTTTGCAGGTAGGCTATATACAACCGGAGGTATTATTCCAGTATCGCATTAGCCCTCTCGATTTATCCGTCAGTTTTAGGATGGTAAGTAGTTGAAAGCTTAGCAATTACGCTTAAGCGTTTACAGATATATTTCCAGAATTCAAAAACGAATTAAGCTTCATAATCAGATATAATAATCAGGGGTAAACCGTGGAACTTTCAGATATTCTTCTGGAATAGGTGGGCAACCTTTTCGGAATTGTAGGTATTATAGTAGGGTAAGAAATATTTCATTTTTGTTAATTGGTCAACTATTATTATAATAGTATCGAAACCAATACTTTCGAGTAAATGTGTAATAAAATCTATTGAGATATTTTGTTAAGCTTTCTACAGAATCAGGAACAGATGGAAAACTCTCTCCTGGCCTTTGCAATTTAAAGTAATGTGGTGGTAACTATAGCAGTTACGGACTTACTGTGTAATATAATCGTAGTATCCAGGCCAGTAGTAGTTTCAGAACAGTAATTCGAAGGTTCGGGTACGGTGCGGGTGACCAGTGACGGGCGATTCGTGGTACAGGCGGAGCAGGTAGGTTTTCAGGGGGTTGTGGTTGGGAATGTATAGTTTCCCTCGGTAGTATAGTAGATTGTTATTTTCGGTACACTCAGCAAAAGTGATTTTCAGGTATTTCGGGAATTCCTTTCATAGGGATTTCAGGATAGATTTGGGTACAGAATCAGCTTGGTAGCCTTTGTGGAACAGGGTAAGCAGATTAACAAAAAGGTTTAAAGGGTTTTCTAGATCCTCTAGTTGTATTGCAGGGTTGGGTATAGATATGGTATGTGGGATTGCAGGCTCTATAACTTTGTTATTTTCTGGTAAAGTTATGGTATCATCAGAATCCAAGTAGTTGGTAGTATCGGTAGGGTTAGGGTTTCTCTGGTTACAGGTGGTTACAGTGAAGTATATTCTTTTAGTAATCTTGGGTTCGATTAGGGTAACAGTAGCAGGAAATAAATCGAAATCCAGATTCTCTCATTTCAGGATAATACAGCTTTGGTACAAAAAGCGTTTATCCCCCTCCTTAGGGAGATCTTCTAACCTCCTAGTCAGCACGTTGGGTTTAACATTTAGCTTTCCAGAGCGATAGGTAATTCGAAAATTAAATCGAAACAGAAATTTGAATTAACAAACTTGACAGCAATTCAATAACTTTATTGTGGTAAAGTATTCTAAATTTCTATGATTAGTAATTACTTGAATTAGTGATACAGCGCTTTTCAATTCAGAATGCTATTTTTTGAAATAATGGATAATAACTAGTAGTTCTTTATTGTAAATCTTATAGTTGTATTTAACTACCAAATATTTTTTAGAAAAGAATGTAATAGATCTAAGTATTCCATTATTATTATATTGGGAGAGTATTCCGACGGATATGTAATTGGAGGTATTGGTTTTTATGATCACTTCCTTTTCCCAATTAAAGGAAGCCAGGATAGATGCTTTGGTAAATGCTCACTTCAATTAATCGAATGTTTCTTGACAGACAGAACTCCACAGGAATGGAACATTCTTTTTGGTCAGATCTATCATCAGGTTGATAATCTTCGAAAAATCTCTAATAAATTGTTGGTAAAAGTTCGAAAACCTAATAAATGCTTGGACGTCGGTTATGCTAACAGGTGGTTTCCAATCCACAATTGTTTGGATTTTCTCTGGGTCCATTCGGATATCATTGTTTCCTATAATAAGGCCTAGAAACTTGGTTTCGGATT